TCTCCTGGGGCGTGCGGGACTGGGGGCATCCCTTCTTCCTCCCGTCTACCCTGCGTGCCTGAGGACACGTGGGCTCAGCGTGGAGGCGCCGTTCCTCCTGGCACCCACTGGATCCTGGTTCAACCCCAACCCCCTGGTATTAGGTGGCTCTTGGGGAGCGTTTTGCCCCAGGACGTGCCTCTGCGTGAGGTTGGTGGGAACCATGGGGATGAGAGCCCTTTCCTTGCTGGTCTTCAGGGCCACCACGTAGGTCCCTGGGGAGGAGGGAGCTGCATCATGGCCGTGGGCACTGGGGTTTCGCATTTTGTGGCCTGCAGGGGAAGGCCAAGAGCAGGCTCGCGCTGGGGTGGTCTGGGTGGGAGCCAGCCCCTCTCCCCTCTCCCTGCTGCACTTTAATGGTGGTGGAGGGAGAAGGGGGATGAGTGCCGGGATGCCGCTGTACCTGCGCAGGGGACTGCTCATGCAGGGCTGGGGAGGCTCGGGGTGGGGGGACGGCCCTGGCCCCCTCCTGCTACCCCTTTCTCTCTGTTGTATAAAGCTGATTTCTTTGGCGCTGTCCTGACAAGAGCTTCCAGAGCTTGTAATCGATGCCTCCCCCTCCTTTTTACAAGGTGGTTGTTTTTTTTTTTTTTTTTTTTTTTATTCTGACTTCCATTTCTCAGTACTCTGATGCCTGTCTGGTTTTTGGCAGTAGGCTCCTCAGTGCTGACGGGGGAGAGGACGTTTACACCAGGACACCAGACGGGAGAGCAGCGCAGGAGGGTGCAGGGCATGGGAGAACGACGGTTCCCTTTAGTTTTCTGCTGCATTCAATTTGGGCGGAGGAGGGAGAGCCGCTAAAAGGAAAACCAACCCCAAATACTCAGCATATGGGCTGCACATGGACACGGGGAGCCTGCACGTCAGCTGTCGTCCAGGCACGGTTGCACTCGGGGGCCCACGGTTGCTGCAGCCTGGAAGTTTAAGGGCTGTCGGGTCCTACTTGTGTGGGAAGTGCGTGGGGTCTCTGTGGGATCGTACAACCTTTATCAGCTCTGTTGCCACTAGGTGACAGTCTTGATCCAGTGTGTTTGGTGGCATCCAGATGTTCGTGGCCTCCAGGAGTGCCTCTGGAGTGGAGGAAGGCGAACTTGGACATGGACATCCCTTCGTGGGTGAGGAGGGGACCCAAGTGCCTTGGCTGAAAACCAGTGGGCTGTTTCCAAGGGCGTTTGGATCAAGCGTTCCCCGGGCAGGGCAGAGCGCGCCCTTCCAAACTTCCAGTCCCACTGGTGCCTGGACACCCAGCGCGGTTGTGCCCTCCGAAAGGATCAGATGATGCTCCCTTGTCTGAGCCTAACCCTGGGGAAGGTCCTACCGCTCCAGGAGGGACAGGGGGCTGTGCTGTGCAAGTGGCCGGCTCATTGAGTCCTGGGCTTGGGGACCTCTGCACAAGTTCGGAGAGCAGCTCCTTGGGTGGTGAAGTGGGAGAGGGTTTGCATTAAGGCAGCAGTTGCCACAACGAAGGTGATGGGCTGGAAAGGAAGGACCTCGGCAGGGGTGGAGGTGTCCTGTGCGTGAAGATAATGTTTTTAGGCTGTGAAGTGTCCTCCCAAGGACGGGAACTTTACTGGCAAGACAGGAGACAGGAAAAGGTGGAGAAACGCATGGTGTCACCGACTGCCATCACGTGGTCCTTTTATTGGGCTGGATTTATCAGGGAGACTGTTCCTATAAACTCCCGGAGCTGCAGTTCAAGGTGTTGGGAGCATGATGTCTCCACCTCCTTTCGACACAACCTGAGCTGCAGTGGAGGCAGGCACCAGAGGGCTGTTTTGCAGATGAAAACACAAATCTTTTCAAGGTAGCTAGCCAGGCTCTGCCCAAAATCCACCCTCAGGAGCCATCCCCGTTGAAGGAATGAGATCCTGAGAGTAGATGGCACTGTTGGAGGCCACTGTGTTAGGCACTGGACTGCCTGGATGGCCTCACCGAGGTCTCTCAGCCTTCCAGTTTCACTCGCTCCATCTCACCAGCCCCTTTGGGGTTTTTTTGCCATGCTGACGCTTGGGTGGCTGTTGACAACCTGGTTTTGCTTTCCCTGCTAGTGGTACTGGAGAGCAGAGGTGGTGGAAACCGTGATCCCCTGCAGATGTGTCCAGAAACGCAGCGCAGGGGAGAGAGCACAAAGAGGCCAGCAGAACTGCCGGAGCAGAGAAGCTTTTGCAGGGGCATCGGTAGGATTTGGACTTCATTTCAAGGCAGGTTCTTTTAAACACATTTTACTTCGATCAATTCAGATTGACTTCCCCAGCAAACGCATCCAAACCAAGCGTACAAAACCTCCCGCATACCTCGTTGTGGAGGACACACTCCTCATCTGATCTCCTTTGGAGATAAACTGAGGATGCTCCTACGGTGGGGGTGCAGCAGGGCTGAGGAGGAAGCACGGCTTTGCACTGTGGCACGACTTCCTAACGTGGACCCAGCTGGGATAAATCTGTGCCGCTGCATTGATTTATCCTAGCTGGGGAGCCTGCCGCAGCGTGGGCTTGGGGTGGGTTTTCTTGCTTGTTCCCAGCACAGATGGGACGAGGAAGTCAGGGTTTCCTGGTACAAGCGCTTTTCTAAAGAAACCTCCTGCTGCGATCAGAGCCTCGCGTGTGTGCGCTCTGCCCTGGGATGCCTGCCAGGACAGAGTGACGCAGAGGTGGCCGGGGTGGGTTTGGCTGGGAGCATCCAAGGAGAGGGTCCTGGGGAAGCAGAGGGAGGGCAGATGCCCTGCACAAGCTCCCAGGAGAGCTGCTCCTGGTACGAGTGACGGCAGCTGTTTCCCAGTGAACAGCTTTTGAGCGGCACGGAGATCCTGGGGGATACGGGCTGCGTCTGGGCTGTCGCCGTGCACAGAGGTGAGCCCTGCCTTGCGTCTCCCCCGTCCCTTGCTCAGAAACCTGAATTGCCCATTCATCCACTGAGAAAAGCACGACAAAGTTGTTCAAAAGATGATTAGAAAAGTAAATCTTGGTAAAGAGACATTTCTGTGCTGGGGAGGCAGCTGGGCAGCCCAGCCGGTGTTGGGGGTGCAGTGTGCACAGCTGGCGCTCACCCACACATCTGCAGAGGCATCTTCCAGGGGAGGCGGGTTAATGGCAGCTTCGGTGCAGCACAGGGAGGAAAGGGCAACGTCTGGCCCTGTGACCACAGGGGTAGGTGCCAGGGGCACAGCAGGGACGCACACACAGCTCTGGTTTGTGCTGGAGTCGGTGCCCTCGGCTCTGGTCCCGTCCCAGCAGAAACTGCAGCCATTTGAAGAAAAAAACCCCAACTTTTTGGCAGCTGTGTAATTAAAGAAAACCAAATCAGCCCCTGCCAAGCAGCCCGAGGTATTGGCCCTGAAGCATGGAGGTGGTGGCGTGGGATACCTAACAGCACTTAACGACTCACAAGTGTCTTCTGAACTAGAAGGGACGAAGAGGCCAGCAGGACCCACGGGGTCCTCTGACATATTGCCTCCTACTTGCCAAAGGGCAAGTTGCCGTGGGTCCAGCCGGGGTTGCCCCTGCAAAGGAAGAGGCCCGGGCTGCACGGCAGCGAGCCCGCAAAACCCCAGCGCGCTGGGGCAAAACCCGTGGCTGTCCCAGCGCAGGGTACCCGCTTCCCTTGGCTTCTGCTCACCCCCTCCATCCCTGGCGGCAGATTGCTGGAAAATCACCCAGCAAGTCCTTTCCATCCTGCTGGCTGCTTTCTGAGCAGGCAACTGGGGGCTGTTCCGTGCCGGTTTGGTTGCTTTTTTATTTGGCTTTGCAAAATTTTGCTTTTTGTTGACTGGCACGGAGGATGGAGCCTGGCATTCGGTGCTGCCGGCTGGGCTTAGCCGCCAACCTGCAGGGTCTCCGGCAGCCAGGCATGGGCAGCCGGCGGAGGGGAGGGCGGGCACGGAGCTGGCTGTCTCTTTAAGGTGGAAAAGGGAACTCTCTGGCTGCCACTTTGTGGAGTTTAGACCAGATCCCTGTTTTCATTAGCATTTCTTTTCATCTCCTCCTCTCCCTCCCCAGCCCCACCTCCTCCGAATTGGCATTTCTGCATCCTTTTCCGTGCATCACAGAGCAGCAGGTAAATGGCTGGCTGGCACCTGCACACACACACACACCCTCACACACACACCCAC